GATTATATTTACAGAGTTGGTAAATAATTTGATTATTGGATGAGTTGGAGGTTGAGTTGGTCCAAAATTGAAGAGAAAAAGGGCAAAGAGAAGGAAACCATTGAAAAGACCGAAGCCACAGGAGGGTTGTGTTTACGAGATCTTGAAATCAGGACCATGAACTCCTTCACCACCTATAAATTCATTCTTTACAACCAACGGATTGTCGTCCAAATCGCCCGATTTTCATTCATCACCACCATATCAAACTACATGCATTTTTAAACCAACCTTCACCCTTTCTTTCTTTCGATCTCAATCGTTTTCTTTCATTTCAATCTCAAAGGTGAGTGCCCAATTCCRTTGATTTCTATTGTGTATGTTCTTCATTCTTTTCAGTTTTCCTTTGATTGCGAATGTGGGTCTTTTGGGCGTTTTGAATTCTGTGAAAATTTAAGTGAATTGACGCTCGATCGTCTTCCTGTTTAGAGACGAATGGGRTTTTCGAATAATGTGTGTATTTGTCGTGATGATCTGCAAGGATTGGTTACAATGTTATTGGTTTCGATTACTTTTGTCACCCTTTTAAGTGGAGACATGATACCCTTCTGATACTCTTGYTGTCGTGGTTCTTGACTGAATTCCTTGTTAATGAATTGAGTCTGTCTRCATAATCAAATTATCATGCAGCCTTTTTGTTTTGATTGATTAGTTTTGAACAATCCGTCCTGAATCAGAATTAGGGTTCAAATTTGAATGACAATGACTATATTAACAGCCATGGATTCTTCCTTTCTGGTATGATGAAAACTGATTCTAATCTAACCTTTAGCTTGGGCACTGAATCATCGTTCATTCTACTCATGTCTAATGGCCACTTTCATGGTGATTCTTGATTTATTGGTTCATTTTGGCGTGGATAAATAAGTAATCATGGTCTATAAAATAAAATGTTTAAAGAAAATGTTCTTGTGGCCATGGTGAATGAATTTTTTTTAATACCGGGTTATGATGGTTAGAAAAGATGATCATATGGCCATGATGAATGCAATCTTGATGATACTGAATGCTTAAAAAGCAGAATGGAATGCAGAATTACTGAAGATTTCATCTTTTGACTGAATGAAATAGGTGTATGTGTGTTTTAAACTAATGCAGCTTTCTCCATGTTTCTTAACTGTGTGATCCTTCTATGGGGTTTCAATTGATGATGCTGTAAGTTTCTTTTGGATGCTACATAAAYTGTTCTAATGGTTCATTTCACCTAAGTCATTTTTGGTGATTCTTGTTTGGTTCATTATGGCATCGATGAATAATTTASATATGACAGGACTGTTTTGATATGTGGGTGTGTTTTTTCGGATATAAYGTTGCTATTTCAATACAGGAATTARAAGATGGCGGATTCAGAAGATATTCARCCCCTTGTTTGCGATAATGGAACTGGAATGGTCAAGGTAACAAATTTTTKCCTATTGTGGATAGATAATTTGATTTGTGTCCTTTTCTAAAGCTTGTGTTAATGGTTCTGAAGGCTGGATTTGCTGGAGATGATGCCCCAAGAGCAGTTTTCCCTAGCATTGTTGGGCGCCCACGACACACGGGAGTKATGGTTGGGATGGGTCAGAAGGATGCATATGTGGGAGATGAAGCTCAGTCGAAGAGAGGTATTCTTACTTTGAAATACCCAATTGAACACGGTATTGTGAGCAACTGGGACGACATGGAAAAGATTTGGCATCACACCTTCTACAATGAACTCCGTGTGGCTCCAGAAGAACACCCGGTTCTTCTTACTGAAGCACCCCTTAATCCAAAAGCCAATCGAGAAAAGATGACACAAATTATGTTTGAAACCTTCAACGCTCCTGCTATGTATGTTGCAATTCAGGCTGTTCTGTCACTGTATGCCAGTGGTCGTACGACTGGTGAGTGAGGAGTTTATTGTATGTACTATAGTTACAAAGGGGGATATATTCAAGAAACATGAATCGTTTGGCTTCTATTTGATTCTTTATACAGGTATCGTTCTTGACTCTGGAGATGGTGTCAGCCATACGGTTCCCATCTACGAAGGTTATGCACTCCCACATGCTATTTTACGTTTGGATCTTGCTGGGCGTGACCTGACTGATGCCTTGATGAAAATTCTTACTGAACGAGGTTATTCCTTCACGACATCTGCTGAGCGGGAAATCGTGAGAGATATGAAAGAGAAGTTGGCCTATATTGCACTTGACTTTGAACAGGAACTAGAAACGGCCAAGACTAG